ACCGCCTCGTCTAACATCAAGGAATCACGTTTTCGCGAAAAATCTATAACAGCTTCTTCAAGGAATCTATGTTCATCCTCTCGGTATATTCTAATATACTCTAGTTCACGAGAATTCCTTCCACTTTCCATCATCTTCAGTACTTGTTCGTTAGTTTGTTTAAGATTTGATAAAAGATATTCCACGTTCTCTAGAACGGAATTTATCACGCGCAATTCAATAACCGGATAGAACTCCAATTCCTTAACCACATTATCTAACACATCAATTGTAGGAATTATTTTGTTATAGATAATCAATTCCACAGGTTGCGCTTCATTTGAACTTTTTGTAAAATTCAATCCATCTTCTGCGGTTAGCACACATAACCACATTGCCCTAGTTGAATCATGGGATAACTCAATCTCACCTTTCTTTCTGGTCAAGGATACTAACTGACTGATTCCATGATATTGCATAAACATTATTTTGGCCTGTACTAATTTATCATCATCATAAAGTGGTAACGGAAATGAAATTGCCGACCATGGATTATCGCTTAACGTAAATCCATGAACAAACAATAATTCCGAATTTGGTTTATCACCATATGAGATGCAAAGTTCAGTTTCAGGGTGAATTTGTTCCGGTAGATCAGATTTGGTGAGAATAAGTTCAGCGCCATCAGCGGTAAGTTCCCATCTCATACATGGAGTCAAAGAATGATTGGCAAAATCGAGAAACGGTACCAAATGATAATCATCAAGATTGGCGTCAAATAGAGCTGCGTCAGAAGAATTGGATTCAAATCGACTACCAAAGGATAATATTCTAGACCAAAATATGCCATCAGCCCATCTGAAATGTTCAAATGTAACTACATCACTTAGATTATTGTTTGCAGTTGTGGATGCCTGTGTTGACCACTGATTAAAATATGGTCTAAGGGTGTTATATTCTCTTTGTAGTTTCTTGTATTTTGCATCTACAGCAGCTCTCAAACTTGTACCGTCTAAACAAGCCCGAAGTATATGATCATAAAATAATGGAGTATGAAGAGTACGTGGCAGGATATCAACATATGCTTTCCATAAAGAAGGAGTACCACCGCAATTAACACGGCCAATACGTTCATACAACAAAAAACATATGATGACTAAGCGGTCATTTATTGTTTGACGATTTCTTATCAAGGATTGAAAA